TCCTTAACAGCAACCCAGATCATACAAGCTCCCATCAAGTTCGGCCGACCATGAAGCAAAAGCTAGGCTTGGGCCTGTTGTTCCTTGGCATTTGATTCGCTACCCTGCGCCTGAGTCGCAGCCGCGCCGTCCCCATTGCTTTCCTGACCATCCTTGTTCTCCTTGTCCTGGGGCACTTTGGGCTTCGTCGTTCTTTTAGGATCTCATCAGAAAGAGCAGAGCTTGTGCAGCGCGGTTGGCGGTCTTGTCTAAACACACGAACGAAAAAGTGAAGAAAAGCAACAAGAAACCCTCATTGACAATCCCAGTGTCCTCTTCATTCTCAGCAGATTCTTTGGAGCCCATGGCAGCCGTGAAGGGGTTCCCACCGGCTGTGACAAACTTGTTGAGCTCCTCCTTAATCGAATAGGGTCGCTCTCCCAGCACCTTTCAGCAGATCCCTGACTCCGAATAGCGGGTAACAATAAGCAGGTACGAGTTACGCGTGAAAGATTTGTATTGGCCATTTGAATGTTTGGGCCTGACTGAATATGTTGAATGCGATTTTTTGGGGGGTACATTCTACAAAAGTCATAGGAGAACTGTTAGGGATCAGCGTTGGTAATTCAATTCTTCAGGCCTCGACCTGACACCGACTATAAATCACATATCGCCCCTGTTCTCATTTGGCTTTCCGTTTGCTTGTCCGCCTGATGGTCAGCAATTCTTATCTTACTGAACCTCCCACATGTACTATTACCTTACTATGCTTCATGTAACAGTTCTAACAACAACTATAGTTACTGTGCTACGCACACTGAGAACCATGAGAATGATACGGGTTGCCCCTGCGCTCCATTCGAGGGCACGCCTAGACGTCCGAGAACTCCCTTGGGCCAACTCTAGCATTCCTAAGCAAATCACAAAACAAACCTGATGAACATTCAGGCCCAGGCATGTATACTTTCTGGCAAACCTTAACCCTTAGCCGTAGCCTCATACCCGGCCTGCTGACACAAGCATGTCAGCCTAATACCATATGTGAACCGGAAGCCCTCATGTAATCACTGTGTAATCTAGCAAACTAGCCCAGCACCCTCTGCACTCTTTCATCACTTGCAAAGGGTCCCTCTAAACGCAGTGATAATAGCAAGCCAGAAGGCAAAAGGACTATGAGGGCTTGGGGCTGGACATGCTTGCAAAGTCGGCACATACCCCAGGGATGCAATGTAGCTGCTGCTGAGTATATACTATACAGCCACCGGTAAAAACAAAACACAATCAGTGAGCCCTGGAGCATTCTGCCTGGACATGTACCCCGAGATTGTGATGGGTAATGGTAAGGGCTCTATAACAGTATATTGTACTTATTCTTCAACTGTTGCTGAATAGGGGCAGTATCCTGCCCCCGCCCGCTGTTGGGATAGCAGGCTTTCAAGTATCACCATGTAGCCAAAGTAGGTCATATCTTCACACACTTCTAGACTGTTCTTGATTAATTAACCTCCTTGACTACAGCTTTACCTTGTGCACAAGAACAATGTCTTGGGTTGAACAGTCACCAATCAACCGCAGCCAGTGTGGCACACCTTGCGCACATCTTCCGACCAAAACAGCTAGCTCCAAACAAGGCAACAACCACCTTGGCTAACCCAACACCCGCTTGATAACAACGATCGTCGAGATCTGATCACCCAAAACATGCTTGAACATCGCACACATTCAATCTTACGCTTGGAGGTCCGAGGGTAATGAGTAGGTTATACTTGAATTTAGAACCAAATTATGAGCATGTTGGGGTACCTGGCTTGGAAATGTGTCATGCCTTGCACAATCCTGCAAGACCCCAAGTACACTTATCACTGGGATTCACAGGGGTTCTGTCATAGGGGCATGCGGGATTTGGTCCATCAACAGCAAGTGTCATTAAAGGTGAGCTATCACTGCTCTCCCTAAACCCTAAACCCTAAAAGCAGGGCCTGGAAGGCAGTGGGCTGCAACATCAGCTTAGCAGGGCCAGAGAAGCTGATTTTACGGAATTGGGGGATCTAGAAACCCCTAGCATTGCCACTGCTACTACTCCTGCTGCTAGTACTACTGCTGCTGCTGGTGCTTCTATTGTGTTCACCATGATGCTATTACTCTGATTGGAGACGTAACCAACTCTTTGCTGCGGCTGCTGCCGCCGCGAATTTGGCAGTGCCGAATTTATTGAGTCTACTTCGTGGCAATTCTAAATTTTTTGGATGGCCAAGTACTGGTTGTGGGTATAACGTGCGCAGGTGGGAACTGCGCAGGGGAGAGTCATTACCCTAAAGAGGAACATGTACGGTGGAGCCCCTTGCCTCCACCAGGTCATGATAGACCAGTGTCTCCTCACGAGCTTAAGGCCTATAAAGCCCCAAGGGTCTATAGCTTATAGCAGTTCACCTAGGGTACCGATGTACCCACCAAAAGGGGGCGTTACCTGACATTTTACTATCTTTCCTTGCTTTAAGGGGTCTAGGTCTAGGTTACTCTGGGTAAGACTGGGGCGACACATGGGAGTTTCTCCCAAATAGGGGTAGACAAGCGGGATGCCACAAATATGGAAGGATAAAAGTCCTGGTGGCAAAAAGCATGTGCTTCATCCAAATCCTAGCTGCAATTTCTGTTTAGGAAATCTTGAGTAAGTGCCGTGAAGCATTTGGCCTTCGGGACCTTTCCACACTGTCTTTGGCTTCAACACTTAAGTATTGGGGCATGGCGAGGTTTGCTGCTTAAGGTTAACCGTTTGAGACATCAGGCTAATCTGTCCAAATACGAACTACTCCCATGAGAGGTATTCATATATATGAAGTGTCTATGTAGGCCATTGTGAGGATGATTTTTGGAGCGGACTTGCCATGTCTACGGGATCCGCACACCCTTAACCCATACTCTAAGTCTTGTTTGAGACATAGCCTGCAGCGATGCTGACGCAGGATTTGCAAAATTGCATTCCAGGCTTTCGGGCTAAGAGTTTAGGATTTATGGCGATACAGATTTTGCCTGGACCCTACAGAACCCACAGTTTTTGATATGTTCTAGAGTTGCACGACAAATTCATGTTTCTAGATACATGAATATGTCCCTAAAACCTAGGGGTTCCGTATCCAGGTACGGTGTGGGGCGTGAGAGCCTCAACCTGACAAATGCGCAATCAAAGACTGTCTTGCTTGCTGGCCAGTGGTCTAACGTAGGAGGCCGAATACTTAGATAAGAAGACTTCCCGCTTCTAACCATCGTAAACTGGCAGAATAATGCACCCCGATATCTATTCGAGCCCTAATTACATTAGCTGATCTGGAAAGATTTGTGAGCACTTCTGGTCGAGACTGCGCAGCCTGAAGCTTAAACTCCAAAGCCGAGCAACAGAGAGAAATGGCAGCCGTCACAAACAGAACATACTGATAGTCAGAACAGCTGCCATGATCACTGAAGAAATATCCACATAAGGAATAAAAGTCATCTTCAAGAATTGGCATGGAACAAAGAACCATGGAATCTTTAATTAGAAGCTTCAAAAATTGATGACAGCGAACTTGGGCGTAAAAACGGAATTGCCACCACGATCCGTGGCTTCGGAATGACGCCTACAAAGCTGGGGCTCCGAGTCTATCAACCACAACTACTTCGGGCCCTACAGCCAATAATTGGTACCTCCGTTGGGCGATTAAGAGCCCCAGAGTCAGCATGAGAAACATGGTGGCCTGAATCCTAAACGCAGGTGATACGTGGGCCGTAAGGTCTATAGATAGCACCCACCTTGGGCTGTTTGGATCCCTGCAAAGCCCTGAAGCCTTCTCGGCCAGCTTATCTGCCAACTTCTGCAGCTTGTCACTCTGCTCCTCCATGGCTCGAACTTACCCTAAGGGTCCATGTGCCCANNGTTCCCTTTAAAGGGGATATGTAGGGATATATGGGGGTATATAGGGGTATATAGGGTTTAGGGTCCATGTACCCAATAATTAGGTACTTGGGTTTTGGGTAATAGTGATTTTAGTACAGGTTTCGTGTAAGTATATGATTATTAGGTACTTGGACCCTTAGGGTAAGGATTTAGGGATAGCATTTGTTCGGAGGTTGGCAACAGGTGCTTAGGGGCTACAGGTTTTAGGATTAGAGTACGACCTGGAAATCTCACAGAAGTACTTATAACCTACTCGTAACTGCACTTTTAACGCAATGTGAGGGTGATTCATATAGCTTATGTGTACAGTCACAAGTAGGTTGTACGTACCCCATGACCCCTACTAGAGTTCCGGCTCAGGACTATGGCTAATCATAATACATCCGAGCACTCTTCAACTACAACCATCCTGAAACGAGATATGTTCCCAGGGCAAAGTATACAGTATCAGTTATATTATATTGAATATTGGGGTTGGAGGGAAGTTTCATACTATGGGAAAGAGATTGGGCCGCGTGTTCCTTGCTGAGAGCCCTTACCCTAAACCCTAAACCCTAAACCCTAACAGATTACAGATTACAATGACCCACTGGCTCCTGCAGGAGCTCCTTGACCCGTTTGTACTGCTCGTCCACGATGCTCCTTCAAAGCGCTTTCCAGGTCCAAGGCTAGCTATACGTTCTCTAAGAGTCCAAGTATCCAATATTTGGGTACTTGGGCTTGGGTAATAGTAATTGTAGTACAGGTTTTGGGTTGGTATAGGAATATTAGGTACTTGGACCCTTCGGGTTCCAGGTCCAAAGCTAGCTATACGTTGAGGCTGGGAGGGACTATGCGAGGTTTCTTTCTGTATGGATTATATGAGGACATGGGGCCTTGGTTTTAGTAAGTAAGGGCATACATACACGGCGGGTCTAGTGACTAGACAAATTTCAGTACCATAGCCATCGTCGATGTTGTTTGAGGCCGAGATGGCTGAATATCGAGCTACACAAGCGAAGCCCGCCTCAACCGGGCCATCAACCAAGCAGCCTCGTGGTACCGTACAACTTTAGGGCCCGAACCCTGCCGAAACAGCGAGCCCCAAGCCACGTCCCTGTAGAAAGAAACTGCGGCCTCGTTTGTTCGTCAATCTTTCGGCCAGTCTCTTCACTGTACGGCTTGTAGAACTGCTCGGATGCGTTGTTCTGCCCATAGGAGAGCCTTGGATTATTGGATGGAATAGCTGGACCAGGGCTTGGGATATAAGGTCTCTACACCACAAAGCTCAACGGTATCTACCTGAAAGAAGAAGCACCAAACGTCGCGAACGGGCAGATCTTGGAACAAAGTAGCAAACCCCACATGTCAAAGCATTACCATACTTTTCGCTGACAAAGTTTTGATTTGCACGACCCATATTTTGGGGAAGCCCACATTAGCTATATGATTCTAGGGGACACGCCAGGATCTGCATACCCCAAACCCTACACCCTAACCCTAAAGCCAAGACCGTGTGGGCCGCACGCTTAAGGGTTTAGGGCCAAGCTTTAGGTCCATGACAGGGTTTGAAACTACATTCAGGACATTCAAGTAGGTGTAGGGGATCTCTTTTCTTTTGAGCATTGCAGAAAATCTTGGCGGTCGTTTGCCTTGAGTGAGGTGGCCAAAGACAAATATTTTGCCATCAAGGGCCGAAGTTCAGAGTCCAAACTGCATAGCTAACACGCCCCAAACAAGAGTCCTGCTTTGATAAGGACCTGCCTCAACATCACATAGGTTTCCTGTCGTAAACTTCCCCTGCTGAACGCTTACATCAGTGTTGCAAGAAACAAACATAAACCATGTAATGTCTTTTTGGGACTCCATAAGCCCTCTGGATAATGCCCACATACCCTCGAGGTCCCAAAAAGTACCCCAACTTCTGTAAAACTGCTCCGAGGACTCTGCCTGTCGAGGAGACCGGGAGACCAAAACCATTTATCTTGGGTACTGCTAATGAACAGTCTGGAAAAGAGGCAATATTACGGGCCATATTTACTTACAAGGAAAATTATCCCACTACTACTGGGTGGGGTCAGTATTCGTATCCAACATTTATCCTACAATCCCCGCCCATCCACCACCAGCACGGCTTCTAAACCTCCGCATATCCTAAACTCGAAACCGTTTTAACCCTAAGACCCAAAACCCTAAACACCAGACCAGAGATCCAGGATCTCTAACCTTCAAGCCTTAGCCCCAAACACCAAACCTCAAGCTCTAAATCTGAGACCCCAAGCTTCAAACCCAAAGCCCTGAACCCTTCACCTTCAGCCACAAATCTCAAACTCGAAGCCGTAAAACAACAGGACCCACCTAGAGTACGAAACCTACATAGCTAATAAAAAGGGTCTTGCACCTAATACTTTGAGATCTTTACAGCTTCCAAAGGTCTAGGTCACACTAGGTAAAACTTTGGGCCAAAACTCCAGACCCCAAACCCTAAACCCTAATCATCCTAATCCCAAAACCCTAATCCCTAAACTCCTAAACCCTAAAAACCCTAAACTTCTAAACCCTAAAAACCCTAAAACCACTAAAAACCCAAGACCCTTACACCATGACGAATGCTTACCAGTCGCAGACCGAGCTCTGAGTTCATGCCGTAAACAGCCACCATGGAGTAAGCCATCTTGGTCACCTTAGGGGTTATATAGGGTTTAGGGTTTAGGGTTCAAGGGTTTAGGGTTTAGGGTTTAAGGATTTTAGGGTTTTAGGGTTACCCAATAATTAGGTACTTGGGATTTTGGTACTAGTAATTGTAGTACAGGGTTTGGGTAAGTATATGATTATTAAGTACTTGGACCCTTAGGGTTACGGGTTTTAGGGTCTTAGGGTTTAGGGTTTAAGGGTAGGGGTAATATAGTAATATAGGGGGAGTATAGGGGTTATAGAGGGATAATGGAAAAGAAAATGGAAGCTACTATTTAGGGTTTAGGGTTTTGGGGTTCTAGGGTTAAGGGCTTAGGGGTTAAGGGTTTAGTGTTTGGTGGTTTAGGGTTTAGGGCTTAGAGTTTTGGGGTTCTGGGGTTAAGGGTCTTGCGGTTTAGGGTTTAGGTTTTAAGGATTTTAGGGTTTTAGGGTTACGCTAGAGGTCCAAGTACCCAATAATTAGGTACTTGGATTTTGGTCATAGTAATTGTCAGGGTTTGGGTAAGTAAATGGTTATTAAGTACTTGGACCCTTAGGGTTACGGGTTTTAGGGTCTTAGGGTTTAAGGGTAGGGGTAATATAGTAATATAGGGGGAATACAGGGATTGTAGAGGGATAATGGAAAAGAAAATGGAAGCTACTATTTAGGGTTTAGGGGTTTTGGGGTTGAGGGTTAAGGGCTTCGGGGTTAAGGGTTTAGTGTTTGGGGGTTTAGGGTTTAGGATTTAGGGTTTGGGGATGAAGGTTTAGGGTTTGCGGATGAGGGTTTAGGGTTTGGGGATGAGAGTTTGGGGTTTGGAGCTGAGGGTTTAGGGCTTAGGGTTGGTAGGCCTTAAGATTAGGGTCTAGGCTTCACAGTACATTGGGCTTGACGGCTTAAAGCTGAGGCTTCTTGCCCGCAGCTCCATGTACCTACAGATGACGGATGTATGCCTAGTAACTAGGGGATATAAAATCTACGAAGCTGTAGGCAGGTAGGGTTTAAGGAACCTGAACCCTTTCGTCTTGTCTAAACACTACCGAGAGTAACCTAGAGCCAAACAAGTAAGGATATCAAAGTAACGTATTAGGTGCGAAGCCCATTTCATTAGGTATATGGTGCAGACTGCCTAAAAAGATCTTTGGCTGAGGGACGGGGGGTTGTGGAAGGGCTTAGCAGTAGGGCTTTTGGGGTTCATGGTTTAGGCAAGATAAACCCTAAACCCAAACCCTACACCCTCAACTCTAAACCCCAATCCCAGTCTGCAACATGAGTCCCTCCGTGATGTATGGCTGCTGTAACATCCGACTTTGGAATGAGCGGGATCGAAAAACTTCCGACGTTAGCTTTGAGTCCGTATTCAGTGGTAGGATTCTGAGCATAGCAAATACTTCGGCAAGTCTGTGACATCTGACACCCGCTACACCACGACTTGCGGATTCCCAAAGTGGATACCTTGCAGTCCCCCGCGCCTGCATGCTCGCAGTTTCAATAACCACCTGCCTTCATACGCTGCGCGGCTAGCGAGAGAAGTCTAATACTTCTAACCCTAAGGGTCCAAGTACCTAATAATCATATACTTGCCCAAAACCTGTACTAAAATCATTATTACACAAAACCCAAGGGCCTATAATTATTAGGTACATGGACCCTTAGGGTAAGATGGCCGTGCGGCCGCACCAAAAGAAAAGATACGGTGGAGCTCCTTTCCAGGACGCCTTGAAGTTCACACCGGCATCGGCTTTGCTGAGTCCCACACCGTACAACTTTCGTTTGCATTGAGTCATGAGAAGACAAGAGAAACACATCTTCCGCAGTTTCTGGCGCTTGCGCATCTGGGGTAAGGGCTGCTTCAGACTGGATACCCATAACACGATAAGCGTTTGAACAAACACCCAGACCTGGACAATGTGGCGAGGCTGAGCTTCGGGCTTTGGACTTACAGCAATCCCGCTCTGCAGTGCGTTAAACAACCTTTGAACACAACCCGAATGAATATGTGCAAACGCCTAAGCGTACATAGTGCCACAGTGAGCTTGCTCGTGACAGTTCAGGCAATTAATGTGGACGCTCTATGCAGGCACAGTAAACAAACAACATAACTAAAGCCCTTGATTCCTTTCTGCGTCGGACCCTGTGCAACGGATGGACATGCTCCCTGAAGCCCTTCATGGCTGAATCCATAAACTGCAAGACCCTACGCACGTAAACCTTGAAGCCTCATCATGGCGATTCATTCAGGAGTACATGACTTGAAACATGCCCAACACAAAAGCAAGTATCAGTGTTCTTTACACTTGCCGCATTGGGCCCTTTCGGTCCCATAACCTTGAGTCGTCTGAGTCACCTTGTCAAGATCATCAGAGGCTCCTGCACGGTCTTTTTCCTATCCCCAACCAACGTGGATACAGACGACAGTCCTTTTAAACAAGGGCTGTGCTTCTTATGAAAAATGGGCAAACCCCATATATGCCTGTACACAATAGAATTCTTCTTAGAGGGACTGCATAAAGTCACCCACAAACGTCTTGAAAGCTCCAATATCATCTGGGATCCCACGTTACGAAGTTTGGGGACGGCATAAGAACTCGGAGCTTCTCAGAGAAGGGGAATCCGCTTCATAGCATCCTCCAGATAAGTACGGGCACTCCTTACTTGGAGGCTTTCGGCATAACAGGAACCTTAAATGGGCCTATATGAGATTTTGCTTCTACCCTACTTACAACCTACTGCATGAGGACCAATGAGCGTCCGAGTTAGGATGTCTGGGTCTTCCTGCAAGGACAAGGAGTCGTACCACAAATTTGGCAATCCAGTAAGAGAAGTTTTCAAGGCACTGGCAGATTTCAGGCCCCCCATCCTGTGGAGATCTTCTTCACGAAGAGCTCCTCAGCCGCGCGCCCGCCCAGGGCTACGGCAATCTTGTCGAGAATGGCTTCCTTCAACAATCTCACGTCTTTGGGGTACTTGCCGAGAATTCCCTCCTATTGTCCTTCAAAACAGTAGTATTGAAAATGTCAATCACTATCTGGAAGAGACACTCTCCACACAACGGCTTTCAACGTACTGGTGCTCAAGGGGGGCTGCGGAGTGGATGTAAGGACTCTCAGCGAGGATTTATCAGGGATTCTTGTAGGTATCCTCTCCCCCTGAAGCACCAGTAACAGACCCCGCGCCCTTTCCCAAGCACCTGCAGAGTTTGCCTAGACCACTTTTTGGCGTTGTAACGGTTCAGGCTTATAGGGTTCTCGCGCAAGGCTGGAGGTTCCTTGCGTTTGAAATTGCTCCTCCCTGAAAATGGTGTCCTTTTCTAAGCCATTGATGTGGAGTCGAGGATTTAGATGGGTTTCTAACATGGGTGCCAGCCTTAGTCTGACTTCAGGCGATCAGCGCCAAAACATCCACCTTAACTTATGCATGTACAAGTGCGTACAACAAAAAGAGGTCCTTTTCGGGGGTCCTTTTAATATCGGTATAGATCGGTTGTATTATGATTATAGGAGTACTGGGTATAGAGGCACGATATGCCTCCTTCATCAAACCTTCTACTGCTCAAAGCACGGACTTGGGCGGCACACAGGTGAAGACAAACTGAGAGGAACCCACGTCCTACACCCCCAGTCTCAATAAAACTTGACGAGAAGACTTTGCATTTGTCCACCGGTCCTTGCTGAAGAGGCTCATCCTCGGCACCCGGGCAGCCATGAAGCATGCGAGTGGGGAAGACATGCAAAAACCGCCCGGACCCCGATCAATACACCCTATATCTATAGCACAGCCGCTGGGGTGTGCAGGTGTGCTGTTACAGACTGGTTTCCTAGATTTGCAGGGTGTCCAAACTATCACAGAGCCTCAGCCCACAACGCTTATACGCCGCGTTGATGCAACTTGCCATAACTAAAGGTTAAAACCAATAAAGGATGCGATCCAGCCATCAACCCTTAGGCCCAACGGTTGCCCCTGCGTCTCAACCAGATCGCTGAAACCTGAAGCCCGGGCTCACGACTCCCACCCTTGCCCTGTCAGATCCAAACCCGATGTTCCACAAAATCCTTGAGGAACTCTACACAGTGAAAGCGGCGAACTAATTCTGCAACCTAGCATCTCTGCAGGCAGGTACTGAGCAAAGCCCAAAGCACCGCTACTTCGCGGCACAATGGACACCTTGAGGAGGGGATCTGCGTGCTCCAGGAACCTGAGGATCAGGAGTATGTCGTAGTAGCCATGCCATCACCAATGCCAGTAGCACTCAAGGTCAGCAGCAGTATCCATACCACTATCACCAGCCCAACTGCCGCCGCCGCCACCGCATCATCACGCTGACGCTGCTCCTGCTCCTGCTCCTACTGCTACTAGTTTGCTGTTGCTGCCGCTGATGCTGTGAAGGTCCCTCACATTACCAGACTCCATACCTGAGCCAGCCGGCCCAAACCAGGGCGATCAGAACCCTGAGTTCTAAGCCAGTACCTACTCATTTGTGTCATAGGTTTGTGGAAGTAGTTGAAGGTGGGTTAGCTATAGCGGTAGCTGAAACCCACTAAGGATGCAGCACTTGCAAGCCCACCTCTACCCACCCCATAAACCTCCCTGACTCCACCTCAGCTCTCCCTTAAACCATTAAATGTCACCAAATACTATAAATTAAACAAGCGGCCACCCGGCCACAGCATGCCCAGACTCATGGAGGGCCACCTAAGAAGGATTTCGCCAAGAAGACTTGAAGGGACATCTATATATCGGGTTTTGTGGGTCGTTCTCAAGAGTGGCCTGCGGATATACTCTTCAGAATCAGAGGACTCACGAAACTCCTTATGACTTACTACTAAACCATGCTATCAGAACGTAGGTTAACTCTTCAGGGAGGCAAATGTGCAAGGTAAACTGATGTTCCTGAGCTCAGGGCTTGAATGACAAATTTTGGGGTTCGGGGTTTAGGGTACATCTTGGGTCGAGGTTGAGTTTTTTGTTTGGTTGATGATGAGAGGCAGCCGCCTTCCCTTTCCATAACGAAAAGCAGCCAACCCACATCCAACACCAGACGATGAACAAGCGAAAAAAAAACTACTAAGCAGCTTAGCGACTGTCCTCTTCTCGGCAGGGCTCATCAAGCTGTTCCTCAGGAACAACCCTTGAAATTCCCCGCTCCCCACAGAAAGCCAACGTAGTATAGACATGTATAGATGAAGGATTCTGGTGGGGAGGGGGGATTCAGGAAAGGCTCTTGTCATGATGGAGGTTTTAGATTACCTGGCAGTTTCTCGAAAAAGCAAACATTCCAAGCATGTAGCCATTCTGGACCTCCCCTAATCTTCGATCTGTGTAGTTGCACGACAACCAGAAGAATACACAAATCCGGTGACTAGACCCTTTCATTGTATGATGAGGTCTTGTTCTCAATCAACACGGGGTGCGGCAACATGCGTTTGCTTGCTGGCCTCATACAAGCTGAAAAGAGAAGCTGATAAGCTAGTTCCCGGGCATGCGAAAGCATACGCACACCCTTGGATTTCACTAAATCTGTGTGGCCCGTTGCCAGACATTCCAACCGGACCCCGAACGCCTTCTGGGAACGGAAGCCAAAAAAGCAAATGTGAGCCGAGAGGGAAAGGCTCTGACACCACGTGAATGAAGCATCTCCATGAGAATTACCCCATTTCCTGAACTTACGCATTCATCTTTCTTCCTGACACCAGCCGCGCAGACTCCCGCAAACACGAAACCTTGAAGCCTCAAGCCTACCCAGACACTGCAACGAAGAAGTTTTTAGGAGTTTGGGTCCTTGGTGTGAATCATCACCTAAACGCATACCACACCCAAAAAGGAACTCCATAGGAGTGACAAGACAAAAAAAAACATCATTTTACTTTTTGTATTGTATCGGGCTGTAGGAATCATAACAGAACGTGCCGCTAGGGCCTAGTTTGCAAATGCTGTTCTCAGCTTCTGCTTGGGCAAGCCCCCGAGAACCCGCTCTGTGGCCCGCTCAAAGTCCTGTGGAGGCTGTACACTTTGTTGTGTGGGGTGGCGGTGTTGGCTGCAGGGTGAAGTTTCACATGTAAAAATAGGGGTCCCGTTTTGGGGGGGCTGCCTATAAGAAGGAGGACAGTACTTTGGCTAAACGTTGGGGTCCCCCCCATTTGAAGAAAAAGCGAGTTCGAAGCGTTGGCTGTCATGGATGCAGGGCCGAATCCGGGGCCAACTGGAATGGGGGAGTATATGTACAAAGGTAACTGTCCGGCGCATTTGGTCGGTTTCCCTAACTAGGGGAACCACAATATAGACTCCAAAAAAGTAGGATAATACCCATTATAGGGATCCCCACAAAGGTACCACCTTTTGTTAGGAAACCTCCAGTTAGGGTCACAAGAAGTAGGGTCCGGTAGCGAGGTAAAGGCTATGGAAATCAATCTGCAAACGAGAATGTGGACTCTTTCCTGGGTTGCTGTTAAGAAACAGATTTTAAGTTCCTAAAATAAGAAACCCTATCATTCGCAACGTCCCCATATGGAGGAAACTTAATTTAGGTTCCTTGAAAGCAGCTCAGTCTCGCAATCCAGCCTTGCCTCTTACTAAGCTGAAACCCTGCATCACCCGGCGCACCGCATGCGGCCCGTACCCCTCATGCATGCCTTTTCAGGGCTTCAAGGGTCCTTCGGCAAGTTCCTTCCTTGAATCTCTAAGGACAAACAGAGGCTAAGAAACCTGAAGCGCAATGCCAAAACCCTTTCGGGACAGAGGCCCCTAACTCTAGCCAGCAACATTTGCTTCCTTGCAGCTTCTGAACAAAGGTGCACAAGCGTGTGTGCAACAGTTGGGCACGCCTCAAGAAAGTCTAAACATGCACCCCTGCAGTAACTGGCCCTAGACATCCTAAAGCCCAAGACTCTGAGGCGAACACCGAAATGGCCTCATGGTTGTAAGCATGTGTTTTTTCCAAAAAAAACTGGGCTCCAACCCCGCAGCCCCCAAACCCATATGCGTATCCTTTATTACCCCACTCTAAGAAATATGACTCCTGTTCAGGAACCCTAAATTCTTAAACCCAGCCCGCAAAAACCTGCATCTCCACTGATTCCGCAGTGCGCCGTGCAGCAAAAATGGCAGCCTCGTTACCTTCGTCAGCCATTTTGTTGAGAATGCTTGAGACCCCTGTAAAGGGATACACAAAGGGTGGGTTTTGCGCTTTGGGGTCGCAACAACATCGCTACTAGTAACATTGCTAACGCTAACCCGCATAACCCTGAGTACCTGATACCCTCAGAAATACGATTTTCTTCTCTACTTGCGACGGTGATGCAGGCTTCAATTGCAGCACCTCTTCACACATGCTAGCCCTGAGCTTAGAAACCCAATCCCTTCAACACCGCACAGGCCACCAAACGCCTCGAAACCCCAACCTGCGACGCAAGAACTCGACTGGTGCTGGAGCTGAAGGGAAGCGAAGATGACTATTTCTAAGCTACCATTCCCTATAGTTACTCCGTATACGGTATAAGACTACTGGCATTCCCCATGACTCCCGCGAAAGCACTTCTAAGCAGCCCAGCGACAAATGTTTGCAATGTCTGCTCCAGCAAAGCCAGGTGTAAGCGAGGCCATTCGCTTGGCCACCTGCAAGGGATGTGGGGGCTTCCCAATGTTGGGGGGTATCCTTTTTGATAAGGATTATGAAGGGGAGGTATATAGGGTTTAGGGTGTCCCAGTATTAGGGGTATCCTTTTTGGGGGTCCCTTTAATAAGGATCCTCATATATTTGGGTCTATATTGGGGTCCCTATTTATGGCAACTACCATTTAGGTTATTAGTGGGGATAATTAGGGTTATTATATGGGTTATATGGCTTATTAACCTAATTTAACCTGCTTACTAAGTCCCCCTGACCCTCCAAGTAAGAACAGGGCGTAGGGGCCCAGGATGGCCCAGGGGCTGCAGAAGAATGATGTGCCATAGCTACATACCCTAAGGGTCCAAGTGCGTAATAATCATATATACTTACCCAAAACCTATACTATAATTACTATTACCCCAAACCCAAGTACGTAACTATTGGGTACTTGGACCCTCTGGGATAGCAAGATGCCCCAAGCCGAGCTTGCCCTCGAAGTAAGCCACAACTTACTGACTCATTGGTGCTTGATGGCCAGAGGGGCTCGTTGGGATGCACTCATTCACTCCCCCCAAGCACCCTGAGGGGTCTAGGGTTTACCTAAACGCTACAACACTAGAGTAGCTTCTATGTTCTTTTCCACCCTCCCCCAAACACAAGGCTGCAACTACAGATGTGTCATGTATCTATGCATGTATATACGTATGTAGCTACACGAATGGGTTTCCGAAGATTTGGGGTCCCCGTTTGGAGATTCCTATGTCTAGTAGCACCCACAGGTATCTGGATACGAGCCGCTTTGGTTTCAAAAATTATGACATTCAGGTATGTAGATCAACCCTATAAGGCCGAAACCCATAAGCCCCTGAACCCTAATCTTCAAACTTACCCACCTCCTCAGCGGAGAGTTCCTTTGCCAAGGTTACTGGCTTCAGGTGGACCATGAAAATTTTTTCTCGCTCTGCCAGGTCAGGTTTGTCGATGGCCTAGGGCAGACAGACATTACACAGAGTACTTTAGGGGCCTGACGTATTACGGGTAGGACTTGAGGTTTACTCGAGGTACCTTATGCCATGATCCTAAGGACTGTAGAACCATCGTTTTGGTAATTATCTGAGCCCTCAAGTAGCCTCCCCCAATGTAAACAACCCCCCCCCCAAACCCAGAGTATCAAACACTCCCACGAGGAATGCGTATTTACCAGTACGGGATTGGAAAACAACAAATACACATCAACGCCAGGATGACTACCAGCAATAGTCAAATAAATCACCGAACCCTCCTGAAGGCGGAGGTTACCCTCAGGGTCCAAGGACCCAAATAATGCGGCTTCAGGGCCCTAATACTATGTCAATGGTATTTGGGCTCTAAAGCCCTATAAACCGGTCTTGCGTAGCAACCTGAACGGTCCACGCATGAGCATGTAGTCAATAGTAACCCCAAATGAGCTCAAAATACCTACGGAGTCCAAAACCTTCCAAAAAACAGCATACAGGATCCATGACATGTTTTAAGCTTTTTGCCAATCGAGGCATGTTCGGCTCTCTCCCGAAGGTTCAGGTACCTATAGTTTAGGCAGCTTGCACCCAACCTATCTATTTAGCAACAGATCTGCCGAAAACATCTACCATTTGGGGGTTTCCAAGAGTTAGGGGCCCCTGCGTGGAGACCTTAATAAGGCTACAATATTTGAACCACTCTACTCATCGAAACCCCAATTTGAGTAGATGTACGAGAAGAACGATGCCAGGCCAAGTCTTTCAATACTAACTACAGGAGGCGCTAAAGTCTATACATACTACTTATACTGTGCCCGCAAGTCATTAAACCTTAACTACATTGGGCTATTTCTTCGGAGCTCTAGCATCAATGTAGAGACCCACTACTTGCCAAAATCATTTTGCGGGCTATTTGAGGCACCCCGCCATAAGTATAGAAGGAATCCGGGACATAGTGAGGGTAGTTATCCCCGTAAACTTGTATGTAACCCAATTTTTCATTTCATGTTCCATGCTCTGGTCCATTTGATTCTCCATTCTTAGGCCCTATACCTAAGCCCCTACATTCGGGCCCTAAGGCCTACCTACAGTAACCTAGACCCTCAAATTCAAAAGGCAAAGATACCCAAATATCAGGTACAACACCCATGTTGTTCGTTGCATAGGCAGATAGCTTACTCTACGTAAACCCTATAAACCCTAAACCGTATGAGGTACTGTGGGGCTCGCAGTGCATAGGTTAATCTAGGTTAACCCTCTAAACCCTAAACCTTATGAAGTATTTCGGTTACTCTAGGCACACCCAAAACCCTAAACCCTTAATCAAAGCCAGGGGCAATCTGACGATCGAAGCGACCAGGCCGAGTCAAAGCTGGATCTAAGATGTCCACTCGGTTGGTGCCTCCGGGGACTTTGGGATTCAAAGTGCTTAGGATTTACGATTTAAGGTTGGGGCTTAGGGTGTAGGATTTAGGGTTTAAGGCTTGGGGCTTTAGATTTAGGATTGAAGGTCTAGTTTCTTTTTTCTCTGACCCTTTCTCCAGGGTTTAGGGTTTAGGGTGTAGGATTTAGGATTTGGAGTCTAGGATTTGGGGTTTAGAAAGAGGAAGGATGCTTGAGGATGTATAGGCTTTGGAGCTTACTGTATGTAAGGGCATGGGGCGAAGGGTTTAGACTTGACTTGACACTTCGTGGTGGGTGCCTGGAGACTTTGGGCTGGCTACCCCGTATGATTCCAACAATGACAATGTGTTCCTCGATTCTTTGTCACCTAAACCACTTTTGGAATGCGCCGAGGCAGGTCATTATCATTTGCGTCCTACACTTCTCAGACTGGTCTTTCGTGAAGCATCCTTGGAAGCATCTGATGCGTGATAAAAGAATCAAGCATCATATACACTAAGCTCTCCAGGCGCAACATCCTATAAGCTGATCCCAAGACCTAGACCCTGTAGCTTGTAGACCCTAAACTTTGCCTAAACTTTAAGGGTGCAAGCTTGATCCTCATCAAGGCCTGCTAGGACCACCACACCGGTGCCTGAAGTAAAGCCGTCCTTAGTTGGGATCTCTCAAAATGTCCACGCTTTGTGGGGTCTGGGGTTTAGGGATTGGAGGTTTATGCAAACAGTATGCAGCTATCCGGCCAAGAATGATGCCTGCATCCTAGGGGGTTCGGAGTTTTGGATCTCGGGTGCAGAGTTCCTGAAAATGGGGTAGCCCTAGGGACCTGATGGGTACGTAGGCATTATAAGAAGATTACACGGTAGGCCCTCGTTGAGGACCTCGACTTACGATCTCGGTTGGCTCTTGTCATCTAGTTTGGAAGTGAAGAAATGCCCTCAGGGTCTATCTGCCGAGAAATCAGTTCCTCTGACAGGGATATATCGTGATCATTGAGTACTTCGGATTTGCGCAGTGGTACATGATTATGGTACAGGTTTTTGGGTAGGTTTTTGAGTATGAAGTAAATGGATACTTACAAATAGGATTTCAAAGGTTGCCGTCCAGTTATATGATATATGAGTCGGGGAAGGTGAGGACATACGGAACAGAGGGAAGAAACGAAGCGAGAACCCACAATATGAGTAGCTCAGCCCTTCAGGAAAGTTGTAATGTATTGAGGGCATCTAAACCAAGAATGCTCAGCATGTAAAACTTGACTGCAGTTGTACTGATGAAGCAACCTGGCTGAATATCTTCAAGGCAAGCCTAGCAGCCATCTCCACAAGCATTTGGTTGAGCGTGTTCTCACGCTCATCGTTGCCGCCGCTGAATCCACCCTTGCCACGCCGGCGCCCTACCGCATCAATCTCATCGATGAAGATGATGGATGGGGAATTTGCGCGTGCCTGCTGAAACCTGAGTCACACATACGCTCCTGGAAAAGCGCTCTCAGCTATGGCCAACAGCTACAAATAGGGGCCAGGCCCGACAGAACCGCCCGTAGATGGGCAAACTACGTGGATAAGTAGGGCCAATATTCTCCCTCACTCAAACGCGCACCCAAAAGTGCAAAACAAACGGCACACAACCCTACTGCTGAACACCCACCTCTAGCCTAAATCCCAGATCCTGGAGTCCCTCGTGTAAAGCCCTTACAGTGATAACCTTGACCTGAAGCCCTACATTCCTTGGGCTCCAAATCAAGCTCCAGAAGCAAGTCCCTCACTCTGGAGGGGCCGACACCAACGAACATCTCGATGAAGTCAGAACCTTGCTGCTAAACCCTAAAACCTAAACCTTGAACTACGGGATTGCAATAATACCCCCAAAGGTAACCCCCAAAAAGTTTAAGAAGCTAATAAGGACTATATAGGGCTTCAGAAGGCCTAATAGGGTTCTAAATCTGGGGGGGATACCTCTGGGGGGGTAATGTTGGACCCTCTACTAATGTTGGACCCTCTTTAATAAGTAGGCCCCCCCCCCTTCCACCCCTAACATTAGGGCCCTCCGAAAAATAGAAATTAGAGGGGCCTCAATAGTGACCCCAAAATCCTATCTCAAGGTAATAAGGTTTGGGTGATTAAGTTATAAAGGGATTCTGATGGCTCTGGTGATTATCGAATTTAGGATGACTAAGGGTCTGGTGAGTAAATTATCAAGTATAAGGTGTAGAAAGGATTTCCTTTTAAAATCTTTCGAATCCATGAAAAGCAGGCCCAGGCCCAAGGCTC